GTTCGAGTGTGTCGCCCAGGCTGGAGGAAATGGGCACGCTCACGTCCACCGCAGCCTAAACCTCCTGCCTCAGCCTCCCGAGTAGCTGGAACTACAGGTGCACGCCACCACGCCCGGCTAATTTTTTGATTTTTTTGTAGAGATGAGGTCTTGCCATGTTGCCCAGGGTGGCCTCGAACTCGTGGGCTCAGGCAATCCTCTCGCCTCAGCCTCCCACAGTGCTGGGATGACAAGTGTGAGCCACTGCACCCGGCCAGGTTTTGGTTTTTTTGAGACAGGATCCTACTCTGTTGCCCAGACTGGAGTGCAGTGGCTCATCAGGACTCACCACAGCCTCAATGTCCTGGACTCAGGTGATCCTCTCACGTAGCTGGGATTACAGGCACATGCTACCATGCCCGCCTAATTTTTTGATTTATTGTAGAGACGAGGTCTTGACATGTTGCCCAGGGTGGTCTCGAACCCGTGGCTCAGGCAGTCCTCTCACCTCGGCCTCCCAAAGTGCTGGGATGATAGGTGTGGGCCACTGCACCCAGCTCGAAACTCCCTTCCTAAACTTACACTCCTCAGCGCTGGCTCTGTGCTGTGTGTAATGAGAGTATGTGGACGCTGGGGGAAGCCTTCCTTCCCTCCAGGACAGCCGGGATGGCTGCATGGAGGAGGTGGCGCCTAGGCAAAGCCAGCAGGAAAGAGGGGTGGTGCAGGTGGATCAGCGTGGGAGGAGGTGGCGGGGAGGTTTGGCACAGCCTGGCTTGTTTCCGAAGGCCTGGAACGTTCGGAGCTGAATTGCACACTTTCCACGCGTTAATTTCTTTAAGCCTCTTGTCAGTGCTGCAGAGGGGGTCACTGGCCCTCTCATCTGCCCTCTAAGGAAACTGAGGCAGAGAAGGGTTGAGCAGCTTGCCCGGGTTAACACTGTAAGTCTCGATTTCCATCAGGCAGCCCAGTTCCAGCGCCCGCACTGGACCGTTCCCGGACAAGATTGATTATGTGGGAGGCTTTTGATCGTGACCGTGAAGAGCTTTTGCAGCCATATTGGTCTTGTCAGGATCCCAGCTGCTTCGTCTATGGCTGTGTGACTTTGTGGGTTCTGGCTCCACGCCTTGCGGGCATTATCTGTAAAAATGGGAGGTTCCTGACCAGGCGTGGTGACTCACGCCTGTCATCTCAGCACTTTGGGAGGCCGAGGCGAGAGGATTGCCTGAGCCCACTGGTTCAAGACCAGCCCGGGCAACTTGGCGAGACTTCATCTCTATAATAAATTAAAATAATAATAATAATAATTAGCCAGGCATGGTGGTGTTGCACCTGTAGTTCTAGCTACTTGGAAGGCTGAGGCAAAAGGATCGCCTGAGCCCAGCAGGTCAAGGCTGCAGTGGCCAGGAGCGAGCTATTGCACTCCAGCCTGGATGACAGAGTGAGGCTCTGACTCCAAAAAAAAAAAAAATTTGTGTGTATAAGGAGAGCACGGTGGCGCAAGCCTGTCATCCCAGCACTTTGGGAGGTGGAGACAAGAGGCTTGCCTGAGCCCAGGGGTTTGAGACCAGCCTGAGCAGCGTGGCGAAACCTTGTCTCTACAGTAAATCAAATAATTAGCCAGGCGTGGTGGCACGGACCTTGAAGGCTGGGGCGGGAGGATCACCTGAGCCCAGCAGGTCGAGGCTGCAATGGCTGTGAGTGTGCCCCTGCATTCCAGCCTGGGCGTCAGAGAGTACGACTCAAAAAAAAAAAATAAAGTAAAATAAAAAGAGGCTCCTCCCACCCCCATCGGACAGGCTTGTCCCGGAACGAGACAATCCTCTCTTGGTCAAGTACTCAGCGCAGTACCAAGTGCACAGTAAGCACCCGCGGTGGTGGCTCTTTGGGACATTGGTGACAGGATAGGCAGGGTCCAGGCTGAGAAGGGCTTTGCTGTTTCATGTGGGGAGGGCGGCTGGCAGGCGAGGCAGGCAAGCGGATTTGCCTTTTAGGAGGCTGGCTTGGCTGCTCTTGCTGGTGCTTGGAAGCTTGGACAGGTGGAGGCCAGAGGCGAGGAATTAGGAGGCTATGCGTAGTCCAGGAAGATGATGAGGTGGTCTTGAACCAGGGCGGTGGCCGCCAGGGTGAGAGGCCAAGAGGAAGTCGGAGTAGAAATGGGTGGGTCCCGGCTGGGCTCGGTGGCTCAGCCTGTAATCCCAGCGCTTTGGGAGGCCAAGGTGAGTGGATTGCCTGAGCCCGCGGGTTCGAGACCCACCTGGGCAGGCGAGACCTCATCTCTACAATAAATCAAAAATTAGCCGGGCGTGGTAGTGAGTGCCTGTAATTCGGCTACTAGGAAGACTGAGGCGGAAGGATCACTGGAGCCCAGCGGGTCGAGGCTGCGGTGGCCGGGAGCGGCCACTGCACTCCAGTCTGGGCGACAGAGTGAGACTCCAACTCAGAAAAAAAAGAAAGAAAGAAAGAAAGAAATGGGTGGGTCCCAATGGACCTGGGGACAGGTGGGAGTCGGGATGTGGGGAGGGAGAATCGGGAGGGCAAAGTGACAGAGGGGCTGTCCTGGGTGGCTGGGAGGAGGGTCCTGGCATTAACTGCCCCCGGGGGCAAGGGGAAGCTGCTTTTGGAGTGGGCAGATTCAGAGTCTGTTGGGGCTGACTTAGCACATGTGTACAGATTTTTTTTTTTGAGTCGGGATCTCACTCTGTTGCCCAGGCTGGAGTACAGTGGCACGAACACAGCCACTGCAGCCTCGACCTTCTGGGATCAGGTAATCCTTCCATCTCGGCCTCCTGAGTAGCTGGGACTACAGGCGCACGCCACCACACCTGGCTAATTTTTTTTTATTTTTTGTAGAGACAAGATCTCGCTATGCTGCCCAGGCTGGTCTCAAACTCCTGGCCTCAAGTGATCCTCCCACCTCGGCCTCCCAAAGTGCCAGGCTTACAGGCGTGTACCACCGTGCCCGGCCTGTGCACAAATCTTTATCCGTTTTTTTCCTTCCCGTGTACCTTTTGGCCTGGGGGGAGGTGGACGCTGGTCAAGGTGCCGTCCTAAGGCCTCAATGCTGGTGTCCCCAGGTCCTGGCAGGAGAGCATCTCTCTGAAGGAGCTGCAGAGCCGAGGCGTGTGCTTGCTGAGACTGCAGGTGTCTAGCCAGCGCACTGGGCTACACGGACGGCTGCTGGTCACCTTCGAGCCCCGGAGAGGCGGGTCCGCGGCGGCGCTTCCCAGCAGCAGTTTCACTTCGGGTGTGTGTGTGTGTGTGTGTGTGTGTGTGTGTGTGTGTGTGTGTGTGTGTCCCAGAGTTTGGCCGGCGTTCCAACCCTAGCTCGTGCACTCGCAGAGACTGGGTGATGATGGCCCTTGATGAGAAGGCCAACACTTATGTGGCCTTTTGATCAAAATGGCAGCTGCTGGCCTCGCCTGGTCATTGGCCGCCTAAAATGTGGCCCATGGTTGTTGCCAGTACAAAATACACACTGGAATTTGAAGATTTAGTTCGAAAACAATTAGGAATATCTCAAGAGCCGTGTTTTGAAAAAATGAGTATATGTCGAAACAATACTTTTTGTATATTCGATAAAACAAAATGTTGTTGTTATATTATTTTTTGAGTAGGCGTCTCACTGTCGCCCAGGCTGGAGGGCAGTGGCACGCTCATGGCCACCACAGCCTCAACCTGCTGGGCTCAGGCGATCCTTTTGCCTCAACCTTCTAAATAGCTGGAATCACAGGCGCATGCTGTCACACCCAGCTAATTTTTTTTTTTTTTTTTTTTTTTTT